AAATGGACGAGCTGACTGAGCCTGTCTGAAATGACGACCTCTACCGTGCTGAAACTGACCCCCAAAAGGAGCACCGCTGAATCCACCCTGACCGCGAGGCCTCTTGGCCTCCCTCTCAACCCTCTCCTGACCGCGAACCATCTCAATCTATCGAGCAATGTCGACAACCTCATTAAAGGTATCACCAAACACCCTCTCTCTGGTCATAAGCAACTGTAGCTGAAAAGTGAGACCATAAATAAACCTCATGATCCTCTACCTGTCTGTGGGAACCAACCAGATCGCATGACGGGCCAACTCGGAGAACCGCATCTCATACTGTGTCACAGACATATCACCCTGGCGAAGCCGCTCAAACTGTCTGCGCATCTCCTCTCTGTTGGATCGAGGCATGAACTTCTATAAAAAGACCACGAAGAACTGCTGCCAAGTAAGGGGTGCTGCGCCAACAGGCCTACGCTTCTCGTAAGTCTCCCACCATCTGAGTGCAGCCCCAGAAAACTGAAAGGTAGTGAATGAGACCCCACAAGTCTCCAGAATACCAGCAGTACGGAGTATCCTCTAACACATGTCCAAGAAGTCCTGAGCATCTTCTCTCTCTGTGCCACTGAAAGGTGGCGGCTGGAGCCTCCTAAACCTCTCCAACCTACGCTGATCATCCTCAGGCATAGCAGGAACCACATAATCCTATGCAGATGCAACCGGCTGGGCTGGTGGTGCCTTCGGTGTCTGAAATCTCTGAACAACCTGCTCGGGTGTGCGAGCGACGGGAGTCTGAGTGCCTCCCCCGGCCTGAGAAATGGTTGCGGCTGTCGAGATAGAGACCGCCTAAGCAAGGCCGGTACATGCTGTCAGAATCTAAGCTAGGTCCTCCTGAAGGCCTGGAATCACAATAGGCACAGGTGGTGCCTGAGCTGGTGCATCAACAACTGGAACCTGGTCCTCACCTGGGACAACTAGTGGATCTGTAGGTACTGCCCCACCTACTGTACGGGCTGCACCTCTGCCCCTACCACGGCCTCTACTGCGGCCCCGGCCTCTCGCGGCCCTGGCTGGTGGTACTGGTGGTTGGCCCTCCTGACCTATAGCACGAGTCCTTACCATCTGAGAGAGAATGAAACAACAAATATTTAGTCACTAGAATCAACAGATTCGTATGACAAGAATTCAACAATGTGGAGTTTCCTAAAGGTTCTGCAGCCTCTCGAAGATAAGTACAGACGTCTCTGTACCGATCCGCAAGACTCTATTAAACCCGCTCATGACTCGTGAGACTTATGTAACCTAGGCTCTGATACCAATCTGTCACGACCCAAACTAACCCTGTCATAAATATAGTTTCTTTTGTTCTTAAATTTTTCAATATTACTTATGATGTATTTTTTTTCTTCTTGAAGAATATGAAAATTTCCCAGTCTTCAGTTGTCCGTATGAATAATAAAGAAGAAATATGTCTTCTGGATAGTGCTACGACGCACACCATATTAAAAAGATAAGACATATTTCTCTTATTTAATTATGAAAGAAGCCAATATCATAACAATATTTGGTAGTACAAAATTAATTGAGGTCTCTGGAAGAGAGAGTGTATTACTACCATGAGAAACTATATTGGATGTTAATGATGCATTATATTATAGTAGGTCTCAAAGAAACTTGTTGAGTTTCAAAGATATTCGCCAAAATGGCTATCATATTGAGACCACCAATGAAGGAAAGGTTGAATATATTTATATTACTACAATAAAAGAGGAAAAGAAGTATGTACTTGAAAAGTATTCCGTATTTTTCTCCGGATTATACTACACTAATATTAGTGTAGTTGAATCGCATGCCATAGTAAACAAGGAGTTTACTAATGATTTTATTATTTGGCATGACCGGTTGGGCTATCCCGGTTATAATATGATGCGCAAAATAATTGAGAATTCACATGATCATTCATTGAAGAACCAGAAGATTCTTCAAACTAAAGAATTCTCTTGTGTTGCATGTTCTCAATGCAAATTGATTATTAGACCATCAACAATTAAAATTGGGAGTGAATCCCCTGCATTTTTGGAATGTATATAGGGTGATATATGTGGGCCCATACACCCTCCATGTGGACTATTTAGATATTATATGATTTTGATAAATGCATCTACAAGATGGTCACATGTGTGCTTGTTGTCAACCCGAAATTTAGCATTTCCGAGGTTGTTGGCCGCATTAATATGATTAAAAGCACGATTTTCAGATTATGCGATTAAGACACTTTATCTTGCTAGTGAGCTTACATCACATGCCTTTAATAATTATTGTATATCAATTGGTATAAACAATTGAGCACCTGGTTGCTCATGTTCTTACTCAAAATAGTCTAATAGAATCATTGATCAAATAACACCTCCAATTAATTGCTAGACCAATACTTATGATAACAAAAAAATTCATCTCGACATGGGGTCATGCTATTTGCATGCATCAGTTCTTGTATGGATCAGGCCACAAGTTATCATAAAATCTCCCCATTACAATTGGCTTATGATCAGGAGCCAAATATTTCTCATCTTAGAATATTTGAATGTGTGATATATATTCTAATTACTCCACCACAATGCACAAAGATGAGTCATCAAAGAAGATTGGAATATATATTGGTATACCCAACATTAGGGGGAGAAAATGAGCAGTTGTAATAAGAGACAGATTGAAATGCATCGTCTCCGAGACATCAAATAAAGTTTTCATCAGGGGAAGTATAATACGCGTTGTACTATTTTTTCCTTAATCAAGGTTTTGTCCTAATTGAATTTTTCTGGTAAGGTTTTTAATGAGGCAGCACTCAATGCATATTACAAGATGTGTGTACTCTTTTTTCTTCACTAGGATTTTTTCCATCGAGGATTTTTTTTAAGAAGATTTTAACGAGACACATTATCTATGGACATCCAAGGAGGAGTGTTATAAATCCAATATATGTAGATGTCACTTTCAATATATGTAGATGTTCTTTTCGTAACTGTCTTTGGCAAATTCAATATCAAACGAATGAGTTCATTAATACATGTAACTTGAGAAGAGATTTGTAACCTATAAATAGGATGTTATTCTCCTATGTAATATACATAAGAAAAGAAAAGTTCCCTCCTTCTCTCTACATCTCTTATCTATTCTTGTCTTCTTCTCTTTTGGTGCTTTAGTTTATAATTATAATATTTATTTTATAACAAAATCAACATTAAAAAAATAGAAAAATATATTTTTTATAAAAATGTTATAAAACTAAAATTTCAGCATTCTCTCTCTTCCTCACTCTCCCAAGGAGGATGACATACACTCTCTACTCCCACATTAGCACTAAAGGTACATATACTAATTCCATTTTAAAATAGTTCATCGGGGTAATAAGATTCCCGCAAGAATAATATGTGTAGTTGAAAATCTGGCTATAAGTCAAGGAGATACTTATGCATTTTCCCAAATTCTAAATAAATTTTCCTTATTGAGAATTTTGAAGTCCTATAACATATATTAGTGAAATAATATATAATATTTCATATAAAATAAACTAAACGAATGGAGTAAGTATGTACATCAAACGATTGCTTTGACTGAGTAAACTAATTCTATTTTCTCCTTTTTAAGCTAAATAAGACCTTTATTCAATTTCCACGTTTATGATTCTTGCAATAAATTATCCAAAGTTTTTACCCCATTGACTTCACGACTTGCCAATCACACATGCATGCAATTGCAAGTCTATCCTATAATGTGACATATTATTTTTGGGTTGAGGCGGAGTCTATTTTAATTTTATAAATTTTGAATTTTTAAAAAGACGATTTTAAGTGCTAATTAGATTTTAAATTTAATATGTGTACATATTTAATAAATCTCTTAACATTAATACATTGTTTGAGCTCATTAAAGTTACTGATTCCTGTATCTAAATTACGTATGACAGTTCTTCCAACTATTTAATCATTAATTATACTTAGAGAGAGAGCCACAACTTTTAAATAAATATAATATAAGTGCTATATAATTCATGTTAGAATTGACGTCTTTCTGTATAGCTTGACTTAAGCGGCCCTAATTAATGCAGTATTGACTTCAATGAGAAACTTGTTTACCCGAAAAATGGATAGAGTTGAATTAGTACATAGTTCTAAGAATATATGGTATAACTTGATACAAATCGTAGGAAAAAATAGAAATATCAAATATGGATTGCAAATAATGCAAAATAAACAAGGTTGGAAAGAAGATGATTTTTAGGACTAAGCACAATGAATCAATTAATGAAGCTTACGAGAATAATCTTTGAACATAGGAGAATATGGTGCTTGAATTACAATGTAAGTAAAAAATTATCCTCTACAGAAATGTAGCCATCCTCTTTATAGTGAAGGATCCTACTTTAGATATAATTAAAAATATATAGTGGAGAACTCATGATAAATCAGTTTTTCCCTAATTTTCGCCGAGATTCTCTCCCTTAGTGTGTTTTGCAATGGCTCTTATCTGTGAACTCGAGCTCGATCGGCCTCGGTGCTGGTCGGTATTGCTTCTAGAACTCGATATGGACTCGGGATCAGGTGATGATTCGGACTCGGTCCCGGTTGAGCTCTGCCCCTTAAGCTCGAAATCATCTCATCATAGTTCGATTCGGACCCGAGTTCGATAATCACTTCGAACTCGGTATTTGACCTATACCCGAAATCTGAAGCTTGTTTGTACCATCTTCGGAAGCCATCTCGATATTACAAAATCTTTCTTCGATCCATTATGTTTCGACCTCGATCAATCGTACGAAGGCCGAAATCTATTTCNCGACTAAATTCGAGTTCGACTGTATACTCAGGACTCAATCCGATACTTCTGTTTAAGGATAAAGAAATACTTATCACTCCGCTCCAATTATTTTTTTTAATAGTAAACTAACAAGAGTAAAGCTTGGTTTATTCTCTGATTCTCTCTTATCTCCTGTATATTTATAGTCTGGGACCCAGAAATAAGGAAAGGAGAAAGAAGAAAGCGATAGAGGGAAAGAAAATTGCAGAGAAAAGTTTACAGATTATGAAAAACAATACGATCAATGATATGAGTTGAGTTTAAAGAAAGAAGTGAATATTCCTATAGTCGATTCCAACTTGTTCGAGACTAAGACGCAGTTATTGTTGTTGTACGAAAAACAAGACGAAGATGGGAGACGTGGTAATAGATATGGATGATGTCATATCTTTGTGTAGAATTTGCCATGAACAAGAGTTTGAAAGCTTAAAGAGCTTAGAAACTCCTTGTGCATGCTCTGGAACTATCAAGGTAAACTAATTGCTTTTGTTCACTAATCATGTCTTCTGTTTAATTACCAAATTTAATCTGTAATTAACTGGTTTTTTCATTCTCGGCTTTGAATATTTCTTTAAATCACAAATTTCTAATATGGACTTTTATTTTGATCAGTTCGCGCACAGAGATTGTATACAAAGATGGTGTAATGAAAAGGGAAATACAACTTGTGAAATTTGTTTACAGGTGCAAAAGTAACTTCTTCATTTTCATCAATATTCCAAAAAAAAATAAAAATTGCTTAGCCATTCGATATTCGACTCATTGATCTGACTAATTAGCTAGCGTTTGAACATAAATTTAGTTGAAACTTGAAAAACGAGCTTTTGAAGTTGTGTTGAAATATTTAATGATGCAGAAATTTGAACCCGGATTCTATGTTCCATCCCCTAAGAAGGTCCACTTGGTTGATAATACAGCAGTGACAATTAGGTATTATTCCCTCACAATATTACTCTTCCATTTAAACAGCAAAAAAAGAAAAAGAGAAGGAAATAAGAGTAGAGGCGGAATCAGGATTTGAACTTTATTGTTTTTTATTATCTGCATCCAAACCCTGAGACATGTCTCAATATTTTTTCCATAAAAAATCATTATTTTAGTTAGATTCAAAATTCAATTACTAACATATGATGTTGCTATCCTAAGACCATAAAACAAATAAAGTTCAAATTCTGACTCCGAGTTTGTACTATGTTAGGTGCAAGCTAGTTTTTTTAAGAAAAAAAAAACAAAAAGTATAAACTATTACTAATTAATTACAGAGGAAGCCTGGAAGTTGTAAGAAGATCAGAAGCAGAACCAGAATCATCAGCAGCAGAAGAAGAAATCTTGGAAAGTCAATGCTCACAAACTAGGGATAGAAACTACTCTTATTGTCGAACTGCCCTTCTCATTGTAAGCACTTATTCTCGCACTCTTTTTCCTACTTTATTGCTAATTCAGAGTCGAATCAAAGATTTTTAAGTAAGCTGATTTGCTTATTAGAAATCATTTTCGATAAAAATATATGTATATATAAGTCCAGGGGTAGATTTATAGTCTATTTTATGGGACACGTGAACTCATGATCTCTTCACTAAGCTAGGTATTTTATGTATATATTTTTCAGAATTGATCTTATATTATCTGATGCACTCATGCTCTAAAGAGGCTAAGTGGTGCACTTGGCTGAATGTTGAGTTATTTACCTAGAGGAGCAAAGATCAATTCTTGCTTAATACTTTCCTTTTTTTCCTTTCTTTAATGGTGCACCCACGGTATAGAAATCCTAGATTCACCTCTATATATAACGCGAGTCAAAGACAGTAGATGCTTATGCGCCTCTTACGTACATTTTATGTATCAATCCATGTGCTAACTCAATGTTGACAACCAAAAATTGGCAGTTCACAATTGTACTTCTGATGAGACATGTGTTAATGGTGCTCAATGGAGGGGCAAAAGATTATCCCTTTACACTTCCTACTGTAAGTATTAATTAAACAAAACCAACAGGTTATGTCCTGTGGTACTTAATTTCTCTAACTACTATCTATGTTGCTGGGACTTTTCTTAAATGCTTTTAAATCTGTGTCGGATCCTTTAAAAATATATTTTCTTGAAGGATTTGACACGCACCTTATGCTACAATTGAAGAGTTTGAGCGACATAGACTATTACTAGTGCTTAACAACTTTATTGGTTCTTGCATTTGCAGTTGATTCTTATAAAAGCTAGTGGGATAATCATGCCAATGTACATCATAATCATGGTGATCACAACAATTCAGAACGACAACAAGGGTTGTGGTGGAATGGTAAGTAGTATTTTATCCTTACTCAAAGGTCTAGGTTCGAGTCTTTGATATGAGTTCTCCTTTATTATGGAGCACTTTACTCCAATATAGGACTATCCGACACGGATACAAATTTAGTTGATTCCTAATATAATGCTACTAGTACTGTAAGACAATCTGAAATTTTAACTTGTTTCTTTATTCAGGATTCAGAAGACATTCTATCGAACTCTGACGAAGAAAACTAAAAAGACGATCGAGCTTCTAATTGCATATTTTCTCTAAACTGTAAATTGTATTCAAGACTTATAACCCCAGTCGTCTCGATGACTTACCCTACACCCAGTGTGTATACCAAATTATGCAAATTAATCATAGCAGTTGAAAATTAAAGGGAAAATACGTATTATTTAACCATGATAACGTGTTAAAAGGAGTATATGCAAGACAATTGTTTTGCATTCATTGTTTTAATACATTGGATAAGTTTGAACCTGTCCATTGGATTTTATTACACGTGTAAGAGTTTTATGCTTGAAATTAAACACTATCTTTGGACTGCAAAAGTAATTCCCAGGACAACTCTTGAAATAGTTCGGAAAAAAATCTTAAACAGTTTTGTGCACTACAGGTCAACTATCAATTATTAATATGCGACCTATAATACTTTTATGTAACTTTTAAACATGCTAAGTTATATTTTTTTTAAATTTAAGAAATTGATATTTGAAATCGGAAAAAAGTACGTAGAAATGTATCTTCTTCTTTTTTTAATTAGCTTTCGCTTTCTACAAAACTAATCATATTTTATTGAATATGAATCTAATCTTACCATCTTTCATTCAATTTCTTCAAAGATAATAAATAACAAGGTTAAAAGAGGTACAAAATGTAATTTTTTATATTAGACTATCAATAATTCCTAATTAGCTAGAAACACAGACATTGACCCCCC